GGTAACCCTATCTTTCCTAAGTTCTATTTCCATTTCTGACATTGTGACTTCCTTTGTAGCTTTGGGCAAATCACATAACCTTTCTGCCTCGGTTTCCGCACCTGTAAAATTGCTTACTTACCTCATGGGGTGTTGTGAGGACTGATTAGATAATGACTGTAAGTTGCTTGGAACAAAAGAAGCGCTAATTATTGCTTTTTAGTACAGTTTATCTTCTTCCCAACACATACATGCATATATCCAGTAAAAACACTATTCGAAATTACTGCGCTATGTACAGTCACCAATTTTTAGTGCTACTCTAATGCACAATAATTTCTCCACATTGTGGAATGACACCATCTGAGCCCCTAGAAAGTAATGCTTTCAAGTTCCAGTCAATCGTACAATATACACCAAGCCTCAGCACATTTCTTATGCACTCCCAGACCATTCACCAAGCACCTAAACCAAGACTGAAAGGAGGCTGCCTGGGAATACTTGCATGGAATCGAAATATATAGACATCTCATTGGTTTCTTTTTCATTTCAGGATTCAGAACTGAATGAGTTAAGGAGAACCATTGAACTCCTGAAAAAGCAGAATGCTGCTGCCCAAGCTGCCATTAATGGAGTAATTAACACACCTGAGCTCACCTGCAAAGGTAAAGAGACAAACTCTACTTTTAACAGCAGTGTAGCACTCCTGAGACATTAGTCCTCTTGGTAATATCTGATGCAATTTACCTTGCCAGAGACTGGCTTTGTATATATCATCAACTGTATTTGCTCCTGATTCGATGTAACATGGAGATGTATACATTTGTATCTCAGTAGAGCCCTATGATTTTCATTGGTCCCTTCTATTTAAATAAACTGTTATCAGACTCTCCTGTGCTGTCTAATAAGCAGTTTAACAAAACTTTGCTATCTGCAGTTGCTATGTGGCTCAAATTCACTGTAAGCATTTCATAATTCTCATCTCTGCACAGCAGCACAATAAAGGAACAGAATCCCCCTTCTGAGAGTTGCAGATACTGTGAAATCTCTAAGTAATTACCTGATTGTTTTTTTTATGTTTTTTTTCCAGTGCAAAGCAAGGGCCTGATCCTGCAAAGTTTCCCTCACATTACTTGTCTCACTGACTTAAATTGGGACTATTTGCATGAGGAAAGGTTTGCAGGCTCATATGTGAAATATTAATTGCACCATGAGAAACAAGGAATATTGCTGTGAACTATGCAATGCATCATTTTGTGCAAGTGATTCTAAATGCGCTTAATTCCTGAAACATTTTTGTCAGGATAAGTGACCAGTGGAGATACTGAAATGTCTCCAGTAAATTTGACTATGTTGCTGTTAACATTCAGGTACTGGGACTGCCCAACCTGCTGACCTGCGAATCAGAAGGCAACACTCTTCAGATAGTGTCTCTAGTATTAACAGTGCTACTAGTCACTCCAGCGTGGGAAGCAACATCGAGAGTGATTCAAAGAAAAAGAAGAGGAAGAACTGGGTGAGTGTACTTCAGGAGATTGTGTGAAATGAATATAAAATTGTCCTATGAACATCCAGGTTAAAATTCACCCTTGTGCATCAGGTCAGCACAAGGACTATGCACCACTTAACTCAACCCTAAGCCCTATTTTGAAGACATACGTGAATCTTAAGTGATGCCTATGCTTGTGCTGGCTCTCGGCATGGAAAAGAATGGTATCTTCACTAGCCAAAAAGCCAGTCATAAAACCTGTAGTTGTTGTATCTTTCAAAGACTAGTCCTGGCTAAGAGACATACATAGTCTAGTCTATTAGTGTAAAACATTAGAGAAAACTCCAAGTACATACATTAAATGAAACAAATTCACAATGAAGGAAGATTAAGCCTCTTAGCTCATATTGCCTTCCTCTTCTGAGTGCATTCATTCCATTTTAACTTGGGCTGTGTTCTGAATGCTACCATGAAATTTTTAAATCAAATAAATCAGTTTTTCAAGTTTTCTTGTGATAGAAGTTTCTTCCAAAAGGTTTCAAAATAATCATCTTTCACTTTCCACTTCTCTTTCTTTGCTCATCATGTGTTCTATACAAGGTACCATGCACTGGAGGAAAGGTACACAGTATTAAACTCCATTTTTAATTAGACCATTGCTGCTGTAGTAACATTAGCTTTGTTTTTGTTTGGACTAAAATACTTAGTTCTCGTAATGTAGTCAATAAAGCAGTCCACACCCTCCTTCCCACTCAATGTAAATGTTCCTGGATCCTTAGCACACTGAAATTATAAATATGCTGCTACACAATGTTATAGTTTGCTCTTGTGAACGTTTATTCTGAAATTATCATACCTGTTATGGTTATGTATGAAACTCCCTTTGTACCATGAGACTGCAACATTTTACTTGAACAGAATCTCATTTTAAAGTATCTTTTCTATCTCAATGGTTTCACTTCCATATTTTAATCATAACACTTTCTCTCCCCTCCCCACATTGTCCAAAACCTTGGGTTCAATGAAAACAGTGGCTTCTCCAAATCCTCACAGGGTGTCTTGTGTGTTACTTGTTGGGGCACTGTGCTGGCAAGGTGGACTTTATTTCTCTCCTCCTTGTAAACAGTTAATGAGTCTTTTTCACATCCGCTATATGATCAGTAATCCCTCAGTCATGATCAATACCTCATCATATCTTTTCAGTCCTACTTTATTAGTTATTTTATGTTTCCATGGTCTAGAAGATTTCATCCTAGCACCAAGCTACATATCTCATTTGTCATTCAACTACTCTTAGTGTGGGTTAGGGGACATTTATTTATAGTGTAAAAGATGAATATATAGGGTCTTAGTGAAGTTGTGGTAAACAGAGGAATAGTATCTGGATTTCATCAAAGGAGCACATTATAGCAGAATGAAGAATGGATATAAAATTAATTATTTATTTATAAACTGGACACAAGTTGCACCCAGTGAATGTAGAATGCTTATTTCACAAATATTTGTGAGGGCTTTTCTAAACTCAGAATGTCTAATTACATAGTGAAACAATACATTCAGGCTAAAATAAAGGTACTTCAGAGACATGTTGCCACTGAAAACTTAGTGCAATTAAAAAAAATCTTATTCACCTATAAAACATGTGAGTTACACTTTTGTAATGAACTGAGATCTCAGTGACCCACCAGTTTAGCCATAATCATGCTTGATTTTTCAGTTGTTTTGTAAATCGGATTCCCATTCAAAGGACTTACTAGTTGCGGATAGGTAGAGAAGCTGAATATTTTAATCTGATGAAATATTTATCCCTTGAAGGAAGACATAATACCGGTGCCTCACCAACTCAGTTAAGAGATTACTAGCCAAGGAGAAAATAAAATTTAGGCAGTATCGAGATTCAGATCTGTGTGCTATCCCCCATGTGATGTGAAATGACCATGTGTTCGAATTTTTAGAGAATATAGTTCCATGTACTCTGATTCCTGTTTAAAATTATTTCTGGTGTGTTTGTTGTTTATTGGTCATGTTTGTCTGAGATCCAAAGCTTTCCCCGTCACTGGCTTTCTCTGTTAAAACTTGTCTTTTTTCCTTCCCCCTTCCCTTTTGCTTGCGCTTCCTCTGGCAGGTCAATGAGGTAAGGAAGACCTACTTTAAACTATAAAATACAGAGCTAACCCATCCATTTACATGACTAACCCTATCAGCATCAGTAACCTTGTCTGAGCCATGTTGCTTTATAACTGCAAGTTGCAATAACATTGTTACAAAGTTTCTTGTGCTGAATGGAATTCAGTATTTGTTGTGAGGGAGACACTCTAAAAACAGGAGGCATCAACATCTAGCCCTTTCAAGAGCTTATTCTAGATTCCCTTATTAATCTTATAAAATGGCTAAGATTAATGTTAAGTATTTGTTGCCATTTTGTTGGAAAGATTTGCATGCTAGAGTTTTTACTTTGTGGCTTAATTTATTGCTTAGATGCATTCTTTATGATGTCTCTACTGTTATGGTTTTGTTGTTTCAGTTACGCAGCTCCTTCAAGCAAGCATTTGGTAAAAAGAAATCCCCCAAGTCAGCATCTTCTCATTCAGATATTGAGGAGATGACTGATTCGTCATTACCTTCATCACCAAAGCTACCACACAATGGCTCAACTGTTTCTACCCCGTTGCTCAGAGCTTCTCATTCCAATTCTCTGTAAGTGTCATTTTTATTTTTAAAAATTTCTTAAAATGAGTGGTTTGGAAATGCAACAGTAGGAAATGTACTGTAAGAAGCAGTCCTGCATTGACAGAGAAATAGGACTGGATGAGCTAATGGAATGAGGAGTGTCATATATTATTTAGTGATATTACACCAAGATGAGATTGGAGCCCCATTTTGCCATACATATATACACATACATTCACACAGTTCTGGGTGAAATTCTGAACTCAGTGTTTTCCCACTGACTTCTCTGAAGCCAGGATTTCACCTAATGTCTGCCCCAAAGATTTCACAATCTAAGTAGATAAGGTAAACCAAAGGTGAAAGAAAGGAAGTGGTAGTAGTATTATCCCTATTTTACAGCAGGAGTACAGAGAGATTAGATGACGTGCCAGGGGAGTCACAGGAAGTCTGTGGCAGAGCTGGGAACATATATCCTGAGTCCCAATCCAGCATCTTAACCATAATACTCTATGAAGCCAAAAGACATCAACTCTCTTCTATAGAGCAATTCAATATTTTCACCGTGTAAGGGAAGTAATTGCAACCAAAGTGATCTTGGACTGCAGAACTAATTGAAACTTCTCCTCGTGCTATCAGCTGTTCCAACACAGGTTGGCATCTGGAATTTCATATTTTCTGTTAAGTAAAGACAACACACATTGCTATAAGCTTCAGAGAAGAGTTTAATTTCAAAGTGGTTGAACTAGTTCAAGTAACGATAAGAATTGTTTCAAACATTTATGCCAAAAGCCCAATTCTCCACTCTGTCATTTGACTCGCTACAGGACCTTGAGCAAACCACATAATCTCTCTCTGCTTCAGTTTGACAATTTGTAAAATGAGGTTAATGGTCCCTCCTTCAGAGAGGTGTTTTGAGAATAAATTAATGTTTATAAAGTGCTGAGAGAACCTTGTAAAGCTGTTTTATAATTACAGTGCATCACTAACTTCTTCACTTTGATTTGGATCAGTAGAAATAGAGATACCACCTAGCTGAAATCAGGAAGCATTGAAAATATTGTAAAAGATCCTGTCTCATGAGACTTCCAGATTGATTTCAGATCAAATATATTTGAATAGTATCCAAACTTGAAGTTTCCCATCATTTGTTTCCATGTAAGGAGGTATGATTCAAGAGAACAATGGCAATAAGATGTTGCTAGCACGAAATAATCCCCCCCACCACATTTAAAGGTCACGGTTCTTCTACCTCTTAATTGCATCATCATCATCACTTTCAAGCAACCTCAGCCCATAATACTATAGAATAGGCAAAGCTTAAAGCCAGCTTTTAATGTTGAAATTTATCATATCTTTTTTTGATTATATCTGTCAATCAAAATACGCTGTGAATATGGCTAGTCTTGACAAGTATCTGGAGAGCCAATGGGCTAGAGATGAATTGAGAAAAGGTCAAATACTTCATCTGTGGGGAGGGCACCAGTATGAGTGAGGTGTACATGTTTTGGTTTATTTGTTTTCTGATGGGAGGGAAACCTTTGCTCGTTACTTAGGAATTTAGGCAGAGACATTTTAAACTGAAACCTCCCTGAAAGCATACAGGTCTGGTGGTGATCTTCCTATGTACAAACTCGTGCACCTGAACATCAGCTTCAATCTGCTTAATCGCTTTGCATTGAGTAAAAGGCTCAGGCAGAGTGAAAGAGAAGGGCTAGCAGAGTGAAGAGGCAACATGGCAATCTTCCAGAAAATGTATGTGCCGGAAAGGCTGTTCACCCAGTGTCTTGGGGGAGAACAACAAAAATGCCATCAAAATAAACTTTTACGCGTGAGTGGTTTAAAGCGAGCAGGAATTTATCATGTCTGAATAGGTGTAGGGTTCCGAAGCCCTCCAGAATCATTCAGGGAAGCCCAGCTGTGCACACCTGTTGAGCTTTAAATCTTTCTGTAAACTCATCAATCTCCAAGTGACTGCTGCTACTCTCTGTACTTCCTTAATTTATTTGGATTTTTTGCATTTAAAAGATTTCCTGCATGACGACTACTTTGAAATAAATACTAATGTTATCCAAGGATCGGTAATGGCCAGAATTTAGTTTCATGTGCTAATCTTATTACCCTCAAAGAATAATTCCTGTGCTGGGAGAGACATTTTCTGATGTTTGAGTCATAGGTTCATAGAGTCATAGATCCCAAGACCAGAAGGGACCATTAGATCATCTAGTCTGACCTCCTGTATAACACAGGCCATAGAACTTGCCCAAAATAATTGCTAGCACATCTCTTTAAAAAAAAAATTAATCTTGAATTTAAAATTGTCGGTGATGCAGAATCCACCACGACACTTGGTAAATTGTTCCAGTGGTTAATTACTTTCACTGCTAAAAATGTTTTTCCAGTCTGAATTTGTCTAGCTTTCACTTCCGGCCATTGGGTTGTTTATAGGGTGACCAGATCACAGGGATGAAATATCGGGATGCGGGGGGCGGCAGAGCAAAAAAAAGCAGTTTCGCTGGGGCAGGGGGCATTAGCAGGCCCCAGCCATGCCGGCCACACGCGCTGCCCACCCCAGGGCAAAAGGTGGCCCTGATGCAGAGGGGGCTGGGGATAAAGAGGGCATCGGGGGGGGGGGGACTGAGAAGAAGTGCTGGGAAACAAAGAAGTCCGGGTGGGCGAGGGCGTACGGCTCCAGTGGGGACCCGGGCAGGGCACAGGCTGGATGGGTGCAAGGAGGCAGAGCCCTGTAGCGGGACCGGGCAGGCACAAAGCTGTCTCTCCCATGGAAGTGGCTGCAGGAGCCCCCGAGCCCGGGGCTGGCCATGGGGCAGCGGCGGTGCATGTGAGCTGGGGACCCCGGGGGCAGCGCGGCGCGGGCGTGAAGGGTGCCGGGGCTGGCACAGCCGAGCCACAGCGGCGGCCGGTCTCCCGAGGGGCTCCCCGGGGCTCCAGGCTGGGCAATGGGCGGGAGCCAGGGCTTTTCCCGGCCCCGCAGAGCCTCCCACCCTCCAGCCCGCCGTGGGCACATGTGGTGCGTCCCGCCGCCGGCAGGGAGCCCCGCGCCTCTCCCGCTCGGCTGCGCTCCAGTGGCTCCTTCCCGGCAGGGCGAGCCACTGG